GAGACCAGCTTGCAACACGAAAAGTAATTTGAAACGCTTTCAAATGACTGCCACAAAATTAATGGACTCCAATCAGACACTCACACAGAGTGCGACTCGCTCAAGTGGCGCCAATTAAAATGATTAACATCGCGATAGAATAAATAAAACATATACACCCAAAAAAAAAATGTCCACCGAACGGCCAACAAAAAAATAAACGGAATACCCAATGATAAGAGGGCTTTGATAGCTCACAAGTTGTTTCAGCGCATAATTGATGTGATTGAGATTGATTGTTTATTTGTTTTCCGTCCATTCAGTGTGAGTTGATTTGATTGAAATTTTCGTTCCCTCCTCGGACCCCAAAAAAAAAAGGGCGCCAGTTTGACCGCTTTGTGGACTTATCAGCATTACATTTTTAGCCCCCTTCTTTTTGCCTCTCCCCTTTACATAGCAAAGCTATAAAAAATTTATATATTCTTGCCGTTTGCCTTCTTTTGAAAATTTCAGCTTGGGCTTCAAAAGCAATTTGTGTGCATTTAGTGTCAAATGTTGTGTTAAGCTCGAAAAGCCCCATTTGCCCAATGATCTGTTTTGTGGGACTTTGTAAGGGGCTTTGGGCAGCCGGCTGATTAATATTTATACACAATTTTATGGCAATCACTCATACGCCCCGTATTGTGTAGTAACGAACTTAATGATTGATACCATTTGAAACCCATTTAATTTTCGCCGGATTACGTGGCATTAAGAATGCCGCGGTAACGGTCAAGCGTTTTCGTTGGACATTGGGGAATTATGAGGGTTTTTCCCTCTGTGACTTGGCTTTAAAAGCAATTTGGGGAAATGTGGAAGGTAAATAACATTTGTCACATGGCAACCCATAACCATGTGCTTCTATATAACTGAAGTCAAATTTAAAAATATAATTTCTTTTCAATTAAATGCATTAAAATGCATACATTTTTTATTTATTTATTTTTATTTCAAAGTTGGCTTAACCTGTTTTAGCAAACAATTGAGCTTGTGACACATCTCATGATGCTGTTAATGGTGATGATGATAATGCAATTGACAGTTATCAGCGGGAACATTAATTTGATTACTTCTATATGAATTTATTGGTTAATTTGTTGGAGCATTTTACGATTATTGACTTTGACTGTTTTATAACCCACATTCGTCCCCCTTTTCAAGCCCCCCTTCCATCGAATCGATTATCTCGGGCCATAATTTGTAATGCCGCGACTTAACTCTATGGAAAAAAAAAATAAAACAACCGAGAAAAAAAACGGGTTATTATTTTGCGGTTTAAGCGGCGATTGCAATTCATTATCATAGCTGCCGCCTTGCGTGCATTTAAATGAATTCATTGAGTTTCACCCATTCAATTTGTACATACGCAAGCATTTAGTTTTCAAAATGATATTTGCCATGAATGGTTATGACTGTAGTTAGGGATTGGGGGGATCGGAGGTGTTGGTGGCACGATTCGTTGGGGCTGTTCCGAGTTTCAAGTGATAAATGCCGTTTGATTGTACTCTCAAATGGCAATAAAACCCATAATGCGGAATGGTAACATTGAGTTGGCCGCTGCTGTTGAAGTTTTATTGCTTCTTTCTATTTTTTACTTGATATTTATAGTCGCTTATTAACGAAATTGGATCGTTAAATTTATGATCTCACCATAAAATGTCATAAATTTCTTAATGAACAGCAGTATATATCGTTTCGATGACTGTTTATTTTTAAGTCTGTTCTTAATCGATTTCTTATCACCCCATAAGCCCAAGTGTTTTTTGCAGATTATCCAAGGGGCAAGTAGCTATATAAAATTCAAGATTCAATGCCATTTCTAAAAGCAAAGTTATTGATTGATAGATCGATTGATTGATTTGAAGTACGTTTATGTGGAATTTTATTTGATTAGAGCACAATGTTGATTTTAGAATGTGACTAACACTTTATTTTTAAATACTGATAAGGAAAATATGATCTATAAATGAACTGGATTGATTATTTCATTAAACGGTTCGTAATACTTAAAGCAATATTTTATTTTTAGAACATCAACGTATGGTTTGGTCTTTAAAATATTTGACTACCTTTTTATCTATTGTTTGCTTAAAGTCATAAGCTTACTGTGTTAATAATAAACGTTTTTTTCGTATATGCTAATCCTCCTAATGGTCTCACAAAATATACACGCTTGATGTAAATTGACTTTTAACCCAGCCCAACCCCAATTAGAGTGCCATAACAATTCCGCTGTATATCTTGTACTTCAGTTGTCTGTCTCGCTTTTCACATATTTAAAATGTTCCAAGAATTAATTAACACTTTGGACAAAAACTATTATTTGTGTGCGAGTACAAAAAATTAACATGACAGCTCTAGACATGGCAATTTATCACTAGCACATAACACAACATGCCGAGCCAACTCCATTCGACTTGACTCGAGTCGACTCGACTCGACTCATTTGTTGTTGTTGTTTGCTGGCATTTCTGCTGTTGATGACACTTTAATTAGAGCCACACGCAAACACAAAGCCGACACACGGACGTCGAAAAGAATGGCCCATTGAGGGGAAAATTCGCCAGGGGAAAAGCCTGAGACAGAGCCGTTATGTCAAGCGCACACTTTAACTGCCAGTTTTCGACCAGTTGCTGGGTTTTATTTTGGTGTACCCAAACCAAGCCAAGCCAAGCCAAAAACCGAGCCAAGCTGATGGCATCGTGTGGTTAACTGAAATGAACGTCGGACTGCATAAATGGCCGCTTGACTGACACATTTAATTATATTAATGATGTTTGCGGTCAGCTGACATTTGCACTTTATTTACCTTTTTCTGCCGCTGCTGCTCTGCTCTGTCAGTTTAACTGACTGGTCTTGAGCTCTCATGTTAAGCTCTCTGACATGAGCCGGGCTGGTCCGAACTGGAACTGACTTTCACGTTCAGATTTTGAGTTATTGCTTAACAGATAGCTCCGCAGTCGCATTTATTTCCATTTTGCGACGCCGTTTCCTTTTTCGGTCGAAGCAAAGTTTTGTAATTTTTCAACATGTGACAGCAAATTATCGACAGTCACTTCGAAAGATCTCTCTTTCTCGCTGTTTTTAGTGTATATTTGTATTTATATTTGCTTTCTGTCCCTGTCTGCGCTTTTATGGTCTGGGGGCGCCACATAAAAGATATACAAATGATGCCACTGACAGCTGTCAAGCTTAGTTTATTTGATTTTATTATAATTAATTATAAGCAGCTGCCATTAATCATTGAATAATTTATACGTTCGCAGATAGTATCTCAGATAAATAACAAAAGAAGAAGGTTAGTCAGTCAGCGCGGGACACGTAAAGCTAAATTTATGCACCTCGCACGTCAATTTTAAATCGCATTTAAAGTCTTAATAGGAAAAAGTATCGAGTGTTAAAGAATGAGTTGGCAAAACACAGGAAAAAGTCCATTTAATTACTAAGGAAATAAAAATAATACCTAAACAAAAAATTAGTTACTAACAACATGCCAATAGTTTTTTGTAAAACCAAATTAGGACTTCATTTTAAATTTTTTTCCTTGAAAGCTAATTTAGGTAATATTTTAAAGTGACTTTTATCACTTGGCACCAAAACCAGTTCATCATCACAGCGCGTTGGGGATACGATCCATTGATTTATGGGTTTCGCCTCATTTGCGCTACTGGAAAGCTTTCACACGACCAATATGGAAATTGGCTGGGGCTCTCCACCGAAATCCGTAAATCACGTAAGCTCCGAAAAACGCTATTCCAAATTACCCAGTTAATGAATGTACTCATCGTGCTGGTGCCATAAACTGCTTCCGTTCTTTATGAACAAAATGCGCTCAACAAATTAAAATGAAAATTTATGAGTCTCACGGCAGTTCGAAGAGAGATAGTTTCGGGTTAAGTGGGGGAATGGGGGAAAATGGGGACCGCAACAACTTTGACTCTGATTAACTGCCATAGTTCCTCGAACTCTGTTTGTGTGTGTGCGTTATTGTGTGTGTGTGAAATTGCATTTGTTTTCTGTCATTATAAATTCAAATTTGGCGCGCCATAAATTTGAATACAATTTCCAGAGGTGCACTCGACTCTCTAAACACTTCCAGGCAGAGGAAACTCGGCTGAGGATTTACATAGTTTAATATGAACAAACATAAATAAGTTTTATGTGCAGATATTGGAGAATTTATCGTTCTACGATTGTGAATTCGCTATTTACCTCTTTCCCCTTCCTCTTCCCCTCGAAAAAACAGTTCCGTTTTTGCGAGCACATGGCCCAAAGTCTTCTGGAAGTTTGGAGGAGGTTGTTCGGTTTTGGATTGGTGCAGTGGTTTCGTATTTCGCCTGAGGGGAGTGCTTCACAGTCGACATTTTTATTATTTATGAAATATTGCTAGACCATCTATTTCGAATGTCCGAAATGTCGATAGTTGTTATTCATGGCTGTAAGTTTTATAATCGAACGAAGCGAATTGGGTGTTATGGCAAATATATTATCCACATTTCTCTACTTTAACTGTGGTGATTTAGGTATTTCTCATTCTTATATATGAACTAATCAATATATCTTAACAAGGTTTTTCATGCTTAGAGCCCGAAGTGATATGCAAATTAACATTTTTTTTGTAGGGATATATAATATAAGAATATACATATTATAAAAGACAAATTCTTGACCTAAAAGCAAATGGCTTTTTAATGGTAGTTTTTAAAATGAGTTTGTAGGTAAAGAAAGGATATAAAATAATTAGGAAGATGAAGTATAATATTGAATTTTATTATGGCCAGTTCCCCATTGACCATTTGTTTACAATCTCTTCCAATCTAAGTGGATCAAGCAGGTTTGCCAAAAAAGAGTAATCGCATTAGTCATCGACCTGAATTGTGCGATAAAGCCTGATAAATTCAATAAATATCTGATTGCCCCATTACCAGTTCGCGAAAAAAAACCCCCAAAAGCGAGACAAAAGGAGCAGATGATGTGCTTACCGCTGTTGGGGCAGCTGCAGCTGTCATATAATCCGGCCTTAAATAATGATGATTGCTGGATTGCAGCATTTTATTATAATTTGTTAAATCCACTTTGACGGCTTTTCTTTGGTGGTTCGGTGGAGGTGTTGAGTTGTTATGTGTTGTTATTTGTTATTGTTGTTGTGGTTATTATTGTTGTTGTTGTTGCTTTTACCAACCGCAAAGTACGGCAGCGCGCTTAACGGTAAATGCCAATTTATGTGGCGTGTGCTGCCAACTCGTGTGAAAAGCGGCGCCTGCGCCTTGCCTGCAAATTGTATTTTCCAGCTGCCTGACTTTTCGCTGATTAAGCCGTCCACGTTCCGCGGCTCTTGTTGATGTGTGTACTTATTTATGATTATTTATTTTTGTTTTTTTTCTTTGTATTTTTTTTATTCCGATTCGCAATTGTTATTGCTGCTGGTCGGGGCTTTGTTTGTAATTCGATTTCATTAATAATTCAGATTTCTCATGCGTCGAGTTGTGACTTTCACGCCAGCGGCATATTAATTTGTTGTTATTAGTTGGCTTCGCTTTAATTGTGCAATAAATTCATTAAGTATTATAATTGCCTCAGCTGGATTTAATATTTATGCACACACACGATATGTGTGTAAAAAGAATTTACACATTACTTTCTTTTCTTGGTTGGATATTTTTTTTTGCTTTTGTTGTTGATTCACGCATATGGTTTTGTTACGTTTTTATTTAAGGGTTTTCCCTTGTTAGATATATATATTTAATATATACTCGTATATTTCTTTGGCTTGGCCGTTTTTGGTTTGTGGTTTTGCTCGAATGCCTCGTTGAGGGCGCGTTTTATGATGAGGCACGTACGTATTTGATGGTTTCGGAAACGTGGGGTTATCCAAAAGTTTGCTATTTACTTAGCTAATTTTGTTTCACATGTGTATACGTTGTTATGAACTCAGTCTAATTTAGATAAAGCACAATGATCACTCGAAAACGATTTAAAAATATATAGGCGATATTGCTTTTCCGGGGGAAGTGCAGATATATATCCGTGGTAATTCCGCCTGGCCGATTTACGCTTTCGCACTCGCAACACAACACTCCGGTCGCAACAGTCCGTCCGTTCAGCGCACGTTCGAACTTTAAACGTGAAAAAACGAAATTCGACTAAAAATCTATAAACAACATGACGTGCACGCTCCTCTTGGCTCTCTCGCTCAGTAGTTTTCGCGCTCCCCCGACAAACCAGTTCGCTCTTTGTTGTTTTGGGGCCGTTTTCATTTTCAACAAGTGTGCTTTTGTTGTTGTCCGAGGCCATGCGCTCCCCCAAAGAGCGACGGCGAGAGAGCAATCGGGAGAGTATTTGGTTCCAAGTGGAGAGTAAAAAGTCTTAGTGCGCCACTCTTTGCTGAGCGCGCATGTTTTTTGCTGAGGCAGAAGTTTCGCGTGGGAGCGGAGAGTAAAAAGGGCAGTAGATTCGGTTTAGTAGTAGATGGGAAATAAGTGGCAAAAAAGTAGTTTGAAAAAGGAAGCAGTACAAAATTACAAAATCTTGTCCATTTCTAATCCTAAAATTAATATTCATGGTCATAATTTGGTTTCAATTAATTTAAACATGTTTACTAATGTTGTAATACATTTTTTTTTAACTTTTAAACTTTATGTTAAAAACCCACTTACAAAAAGCTTAAAACAATTTGTGAAAGACATATATTACCTTTAACTGTACCCCTTCCTTATAAATACATCTCAAATTCTTACCTCAAATACAATATTAAATTGTAACATGAATGACAGTTGTAAAAGTAGAAGTTCTTAAAAGATTACGTATACGACTAGTTGGGCAGCACATACTATAATATGCTAACGAGTATTGCAGTTAAGCCAGTTATACTAAAACGTAAAATAACTCATAAAAAAATACCAAAACTGTTTTTATTTAAAAAAAAAAAAAAAAAATAGGGGCCACACTCACACACCACGCTGGTCACACCGACACCAACACGCTCATTGGACGATCGTCGCTTCTGTGTAGCCATTTTGGGTAATTTTGTTGCTGCCGTTTCGCAGTGTTTTGTGGGGAATTTATTTCCTCACATGTGTGTGTCTGTGCAGCCATGGCGAGTGTGTGCGTGTGGAGAGCGCAACGGAGTCGGCCATAATTGTTTACGAGCAGGTGGGCGTGCGGCGCTTGTTAGTGTGCGAGTGTGTGTGTGGCACAAGGGTGGGGGATGTGTTAAAAGCTGCAACTCGAGCAAATATGATTTAGAGCACTGCCGGAGAGCAAAAACACCAGAGAGGAAATCTTTTGGACAGAGAGTCATTTCCGGAATGAGAGAGAAAAGCCTCTGTGCATTTCCATCAATTCACTGAGAGTTTTCCCCACTGTAAACAGAAAACAGCTGGCGGAAAACTTGTCTGGATTGGAGCATGAAGACGGGAAATGTCTGAATAAACTTTTGACTAATTTTGCGCATTGGTTTTTAAAAAGAAATTGTAGCTTAAATTTGTCACTTCAAAAGTTGTATTGGTCTATGAAATTATTAAAAATTCAGCGATAACTAAATCGCAGGTTTTCGGTTGTTTTTATAGAAAATAATTATATAATTTGTCGGAAAAATGGGATTTTTATAATATGTCTTATTTTTTTAAGTTCTAATTTTGTTAAATTCCCTAAATGCCTTTATCTCGTTTGGTATGCAAAAGGCTTAACATCTGAATCACAACTCCCACCTAAAAGCAATTTAAGAAAACATATACAAAAGTCATAATTTGTTGTTAAATTACTCTATTGAGGCCGCAGAATCGTAAAAAAACAAAAATGGTCGTAAAAACACAGCCGAATCCACGCAATTGGTTAAATATTCAAACGACGAAATCTTGCTCTAGCTTTATGGCACTAAAATGCTTTGGATTTAAAAGAGAAACACACAATTATACTAATCGTGGCGCTTTGAATTAACAATCGATAATTTACATATTTCGGCGATATATTGACAGCTGCCGCTGCTGCTCCACGCCTTCTTAAAACATTTTTGGTGATGCTCTCATAAAATGCCCCCCAATCCATTGTGGTATTTTGTCATGTTCATTAAGAAGCTTTTGAAAGTTTCGCCTTTCAAAAACCATAAAATGTTCATTTAGATGCCATTTTAATGGCGGACAGAGTCAAACGTTTTATAGCTTCCTTTGTTTCACAATAACGTTTTAGTTTCAGTTTTGGACTTAATAGACTCATTTCTGGTTTAACACAAAACAATCGAGTTTCAATTAACCACACAAAAAATATTATATCTCTTTCTCGCTCCCATTGGCAAACCACAAAATTAAGTGGCTAACAGTATTTTGTGGCCACAACACATTACAAACCACAAAGGCGAACAAAAAAAAAAAAAAAAATTATAATAGAGAACCGGGCTTTCCCATATCCTTTTTTTTTTGTATGCTTGTCTGCCGCGCCCAAGCGAATATCCCCAACAGACAAATAAGTTGGGGTGCGTTTTTCACGGTGCGGGGGTCGTTTCCGTTTCGGGCTTTTGTTAGCATTTTAGCAGTTCATTTATGCGGCTCACAGGATGAGGCAGGATGAGGCAGGATGAGGATGCGGCACATGTGACCGGAAAAGCCCTTTTAGTAACGCAAAATGGTCACCAAAGTGGTTGAGTGCTTGTTAGTTTGCGGGATGTCTCGGCGAAAAATTTGAGCTCTCACAATGTGTTTTTTTAACACTTCCTGTTTCACTTGTTAGCTTATTGTATATGCCAAATAATGGGTTAAGATGATATACAAAATAAATATGGTATATGATTTATTTCATAGCCTGAATATATCTATTGGAGGATTAACTTTTCTTTTTATTTTCTATTTTTTTGGTTTGTTAGGGACTCAGGAGATTCCTCTCAAATATAATTTCGTTTTCACTTTTAAAAGCTATAAAGATATAATTATCCACAGTGCCTGCCATTTGTATGCATCCTCTTAAAAGATGCTGCAGTCCTCTTCATCTACTTAACCGTTGCTCGATTGCAGTTAAGCTTTCCCCTTTGCGACGCTTTCTCGTACGCTTTTCATCTTTTTACCCTTTGGCCATATATTTTCCAGGAAAGTTTCGTGCTGTATATGTGTATGAATTATATGCTGCACACTTTTTAACCCTTGGCATATTTTACAAGCTGCTTTACTTGCCTCATACTTATACTTTACCCTCCAATAAACACACAAACGCACTTACCCAGTGTGTGTTTGTACATGGATGTCAGGAGTGTGTGTTTGTAGGTTTTTTTCAGCATTTTTATTTTTTTTTCTGCTCGTTTGTCGTGGCCTCAAGTGCGCTGGCGAGTTCATAAATTTGCCCACTGGGGCGTATGAGTAATGTGCCAAAGGGGTTTCGCTTTCTTCGTTGTATAAGTGTGTGCAGCATTACAAAAAAAATAAAGAAAATATTTTAAGAAAAAAAAACTAAAAGCCATAGGTTAGCAGGCAACATCTGCTAGCTTCAATTTTATTTTATTTCTTTTTCCTTAAATGGGTTTTCATAGGAATCAGAATAATTTAAGAAGAAACTTTCAGTAAGCTTAAGTTTTGTAATATATGTACTTATATATATGTGATATTAAATAGATAATATCAGTTTTGTAATGGAGTGTACAAGCCCCACTTACTTCCACTTTTGCCAAGCCTTTTAATTTTCCTTTGTGGCAATCTCTTAGCATCTCATGTTTATTGTCCATTATAATAATTGCGCAATCTTTGCGATACAAAAGGTGTCCCGGTCTTGGGCCAGTTTTCCTTTAGTTGCTCACATCCGGTCAACTGCTGGCGTTTATCATAATTGCAGTTCATTTGCATGCCCGGGAAAATGCAGCTTGCTTTTCACATGCATTTTGTTTTTTTTCTTTTTTTTTTTGCCGGCGCTGCTGGTGCGCTCTTCATCTTTTCTCTGCTGTCGCCTGTCGCCGCCTCTCATGCGGCAACAGCAACTGTCGCCGTTGCTGTCACTTGATGTCGCAACGCATTAGAATATGTTGCATGTTGCTCCTCCCCTCCCCCCCCCTTGCAGCCACCAGCAACCTGCAATCGTTGCAGTTGCATATGCAATATGCAGGCGCGGGCAAATTTTTATCTTATGACAGCTGCTGCTACCTCTGTTTTTGCCATACCCTTGCTAAGGGTTTATTAGCTTTGAAAATAATTATAAATTAAGAAAAGTTTATATTGATTGCTAACATAATCAACACATTTTACTTTTTCATTTGTATAAAATGTGGTTTGAAATAAAATAGGGTTATACAATTTCTTAGGTAATAAATCGATTCAACTGTTTCTACAGGAAATTAAAAGAACAATTTTAAGCCCGTCAATACTTCTGTGTTAAGTTCATAATAATGCAGTTAATATTTATAACAATATAATTTTCATTTTTTTTTTATGATTGTTGATTGGGAAATGAAAGCATAAAAAAGTTCAAAAACATGAGAGGGAATTTGGTAAATCGTTTTTCCGTTTCCAGTTAGTGTTGCCACTGCTGATTCAGTTGCAGTTGCTAGTCAGAAAAAATATGTTGCTGTCGTGCTGGGTATTGTTGCTGTTGTTGCTGTTCATGTTGTTGCCTTGCTACATGTTATGCCCTACGCACATGCGGCTGCTGCTGGCCGAGTGCACTCGGGGTGGCAAGGAGGAGAACGAGGCGCCCGAAAACAAATGTCAGCTGTAAAAATCATAAATTTAATGCAAAATGCAAAAACGCTTTGCGCTTCGTTGCGCTTTTACTCTCTGACAGGTGACCCCTTGCACCTCGCATTTGGTCTATAGAACTCTGCATTTCAGCCCTTTCTAACTGAAACATGATATATGCGAAGTTCTAAACGGAAGCTACTGGAAAGCTGTTTCCTAAATACTCTAAAAGTTAAGGATAATCAGTATAATGCAGACCTCTCATTCGATAAATGATTAGAACATGTTAAAAAAGGTTTTGGGTTTATGAACAGAATTTTAATAGTGGAAAGAATAGACTTATTTTAACTTTTGAATTACTTATTTGCACGATGAACTCTCCATATTAAATATTAAAATAAAATCATGTTTAAAAATAAATACAAACATTTAATTAAGAACTTTATAGTAGCTCCTTCATTTTCTTGTTATGCAAATGTTTTATTTTTATTAAGCTAAATCCATAACTTAATTTTGAATCGTATTGTCCAGAGATGTCAAATGGCATTAGGCTAAACTATAGTTATAATAAACACAACATAAATTTCAATCAGAAAGCGAAGCGAACGTGTTGCCAAGCTCCAGACAATCAAAGAAATCTGAAAAAAAAAATCTGAGAAAAAGGCCACGAAAATAACTTAAAAGATAAAGCCAATCAATGATGTCACGCCTTCTTGTCTTTGGCCATTAATGTGGGTTGATTGTGTTGTGGCTTCAGCGGTAATACGACAGTCTTTTGACACTAAAAGCATTTTTCCGTTCAACAAAAACTTCGCTGTTGTTTACATTTCGCCTTGAGCTTTCATTAAAAACAAACAAAAATATATTTCACCAAATGACAAACATATCAAATTAATTGCGAATTCATGCAAATGAGAATGAAGAAGAAATAAAGAATCCGAAATGATGAAAATTAATTGCCAATATTAACGCGTTTTAACACAAAAAGTATGTTAGATATTGTATAAGCGATAACCAGCAGCAACAATAACAATAAAGTAGCATTCGAGTAAATGTTTATATTTTTTGTCCCCCTTTTTTGTGAGCTTCAAATTTGTTATTAATTAACATTCATTAATTATCATCAAAGTGACTCGGAAGAATATAGAAACTTAACGTTGCCTGCCTTTTGTGGCTTGTGTTTAATTTATACCTTATAAATATGCAGCAATTTATTTAACACAACGCAATGCATTCGACAGAGAGAGAGAGAGAAATTTATTGCAGTATTTAGCGACCGAACGCGATAATTATTTAATCTGCACAAATTATTTTGAAAATGTGAAGCCTTTATTTACGACTCTCTGATTGCACCAAAGTTTTGTAAGAGTATTTTTTCCAAATGAATTTTGAAAGGTATTTAAGTGCGTAATCATATACAGAATACTTTTTTTTTCTCAAAGTATACGTTACTTATAATAGCGCCATTACTTCAAGTGATCTTCAATTAAAGCTAAGTAAGTAATTTAACAGCTGCAACGGCCCAATAATTGCTTGTGGAAACCCGTTCGTTTATAGACTGTATAATTTGATCACCCTAATGAAATGTTAAAAGTTCTGAGTGATCATCTGATCCCCGGCACTACGTGACTCCATCCGGGATGCAAGTTTTTTTGCGGCTCGCGATGTATGTTATAAATAAAAATATATAATTTATATTGTGTCGGCACGTTGCTGTTGATGGTGCCACTGAAGCGCGATGCCACCCAGTTGCCCCCCTCCGAAAAAGCCATCAGAAAGCAACCGAACCACCAAACCGCCAAGCTCCTTTCGGCAAAAAAAACCTTGGATGGGGCCATTTGGGGCTTGGAAAAGATCGCCCGGCCCGATGTTAATGGGCGTGTCAACTAAATTATGAGTTTCGCACACACGAACGAAAGGCGGCAACTCAGGAACGACCGATCGGTGGAGATCACATCCAGCTGTATAGTAAGTATATGGGCAGCGGTGGAAAAATGCTTAAGTAAATTACAGTGCGTGCAAATGTGCTTGTGAACATGGAATTATTATTTAGCCCCAAACCGAGCGTGTTCCGTTCCAAACCGCTCCAATTTACAATTAGCCAGAGTTCTGCTTTGCCCTCCAAAAACCCCCTCTCCTCATTCCATTGGGGCTTTAATCAATTCAGCCCAGTACTCGCATGTCTTAAATAAAGGAAAAAAAATAATAAGAGAAAAAAAATCAAACGAGCAGGTTAGGGAAAAATAATGATGAAAATTAACAACCAGAAAGCGGTTTTCATCTTAAGTGCAGTTTACGCTTGATTATTATGTTTGCGGGACGAGTTTCCGGGTGGTTAAGCATCATGTCCCGCACAGATGCCAACCGACCAACATAAATACGGCAATTGCGAGTGCCGGACCTCGGCTAAATGAGTTAATTTGGTTTGGTAGTCGGACTGAGCCAAAAAGTTAACATGCTCGTTCGCTTTTCTGACACAAGCCGCCTCGCCAAAGACGCCTGATGTATTCCATTTGGTCTGCATTCAATATTTCGCCCCCGGCGATATGTCAAAAATGTTTGAATTCAGGATTGCACAGAATGTTTTTGTGCTTTTTGGTAAATCAAAGTTCATACATTCATGGAGTAACGCAAATGGCCCACAGTGGACTACAGACTGTATTTTCAATCAAACAGATGTTAGCCTTCGGGGGTATCGGATGGAGAGCCAATATATTCCCTTCGAAAAGGCAATCAATATGGCTCACTTCATGCAATATTCAGTTCACTAAGAACATTCTTCCAACCTATTATAAAATTAAAATCCATAAGAATAGTTTTTCAAAAATTGAATTTAAGACATTTTAAAATTTCGGATTGCAATTTCAATTTTTGTTGAATAAAATGTAATTCACTGTATTTCAAAGCAGAAGAAGATTGGAATAAGTTCCAGTTAGGAAATATTAAATTACAAGTTTAGGAAGTTAATTTTATTTAAATTTCTATAATTTTGTTAGATTGGACCAGCACCACCAGATATAAAAAAAAAAAAGTTTATCCTCCAAAAAAACAGAATTATAGGAAGCAAAAAAATATTCAATATACATTTGGGTACGACTATGCATAACGGCTAATTGAGATTTAATTTAATATGTATGTTTTTTTTTATAAATTTATCGCATATTAACCCTTTAACGGGTAAAATCTCCGCACTTGAAGCACTTGCATTCAGTTGGCTCTCGAAGACGAATATCCATGCTGCCCATTTCCGGAGAAGTCAAACGAGTGCCATCAGGATCATAGCAATGGGTCAAAGTGATGACCTTTTCCTTTAGGAAACTTTCGCGGCAGCAATAGCACTCCTAAAGTTAACAAGATTTTTTATTTAAATTTTCTTTTAGTTAAATATAATATAGCTTACTTTCAGAAACCCCGTTGGCGTTATAACCGATGGTTGCACTTGACTATTGCACAATCCCTCGCACTTGTTCACAATAACGTCCGCATTGCAGGTCCTTTGCATCCTTCCCAGCTCATCGAATTCCTCCTTGATCAAGTGGATCTCGGACTTGAGGGTTTCGCAGTTTTCATCACCAGTTCCTTGGCTATATCGCAATGCCCTGAGGCATTGGGGCATTAGAACCGCAGCAACGAGAAGCAATTCCTGGACATGCATTCTGACCCTCTCGAAATGCCAAACTGTTGGCCAACATTCGATTCGCCGGCGCTTTTATATGGGAAAAAAGCCAGGAGTCGATTGGATTCGATGATATATGTCAATGACTCGCTGATGGAATGTTTGTGTCCTGCCCAGCGGGTGGATATTAACTCGGCTAAGTTGCGGTAGGACCACGGTCATTTTTCCATCACTTTTCTGTTCTTTTAATTGGTGATTAAGTCCAACGACTAGACCACAAGTTGCGAAACACATTACGAATATATTGATTTTTTTATAAGAATATGTGAGATGAATATTTTTTTGCTAATCCGTTTAGTTCTTTACTTATATTACATTAAATATGCATTTAATTGATTTAGTGTACTAAACAGTCTCATATTTTAAGTCCTTATCTCTAGACTATCCTATTATTCCGGTGGCTTCCCCGCACTTTTCCGGCCACGTAAACAAAAAATGAAATCGCAATCTGTCTGAAGTCTCCCACCTCTCGTTTATCTATTTTCCCTGGTTGTGGCCATAACCTTCCCCATGTTGGCATCGTCTTTGTCTCGCCCAATTTCGTTGCAAACACATTCTCTTTCCCAGTATCTCAGTATCTCCCAGTATCCCCAGTATCTCCCAGTATCCCATACCCTCAGTGGGCCTGGTCTACTTCTACTTCTACTTTTACATCTACTTCACTCCACTTCTCTGTGGGCCACGGTCGATGGTTGCGCTTTAGAATCATCGACGCAAACGCAAAAAGTCTCAATGGCGCAGTAAATTATGTTTTATTATGCAATAAAGTCAACCATAAAAACGCTGCAATAAATTAAATTAACTACTAAAAATGCTGATTTTATTTTTACCCTCCGTTTGCAAAATTGTTGTTCAGCCCCGTCTCTATATCCATACATATATATATATATATATATATATATATATATACACACACAGTATTTGAATACATAAACAAGGATGTATGTTTGTTTCTATCGTTTGGTGAAAAGTTCTGTTCTGGCTTTTGGTTTATTGTCTGGATTTTTGTGTATTTTTACTCAAATTTTGCTTGCAATTTTTTTTTTCTAAAATGCAGTTTGCAGAATATTAGAAACTGCAATCCATTCTTAAAAAAAGGTTTGGAAAACTTATGGTTTATTTATCTTAGTTTAAAATGAATTTCATGAGTTTTTGTAAAGTAAAGTTATTGAAAACGGAGACGAATATTTTTAATTAAAAATGGTTCTATACAAATGTTTAAATAAGTATTTGGTTTTTGTTTTTGTAACTTTTTCAAGTATTAAAGCTTCTTGTTCTTAGGGGTTCCCCAGTTTTCTCTTCAAATTAGTAGATTTTCAGAAGAGACCCAGACATCAAAGGAAAACTAAGGGCTTAAAAAAACATCCTGCAGCAGATGAATGAAATGCAAAGAGACACACGACCGGCAGCAGTAAAAACAAAAGCGCAATGCTTTAAATGAATAAATATGACACATAAATACACCAGCCAACAATGGTTGCCCTGTGTGTCTCTGAAAAAAAAAAAAAAACGAACCGAATTCAACAGATTCTCAAAAGCAAAACAGAATAAACAAAACAAAAAAAAAAAAAAAAAAAAAAAATTGCAAACATCGTAACAACAAAGCCAACCGACCAAGCGACAGGGACCGACAGTTAATTCCGCGAAAGAGGAAATTACAATTCATGCCCTTTGGCGGGACTCCATGATTATCAGATCGAATTAGTGTCTGCCAGGTCCCCTCGTCCTCCATTCCCCCCTTCATCCTCCCATTCCCATCAGTTCACTCTTCCGCGTGTATGGGCCGTGTGTCCTGGGGCCACATGAGCCACACATTTTTTATTGCCGCATTCTGTGGCATTTTGGCCCTCAGTCGAACCAAACCAAAGAAACCAAAGCAAAGCGAAAGCGAACTGAACCGAACCATTTGAATGAACTTGGGCTGGCTGCTGCTCCTTTTGTTTTCCGTTAACAACAAATACAACAAATATGAGTGTGTGTCCTGTCTGGCCGAGTCCTGTGGAACCTGTCATGGCCAGAAAGTTGCCCTTATTTTTTGGTTCACCGTTCGCTCATTTCGCAGTCGGCAGACAAGGAAAAAACAAACAAAATTGTGAAAAAATAATAATAAAACAAATTCAGACAGACTTGGCTGTGAATTGTCATATACATTTTTTGGGTTGAGTGGGTGTCGATTTTCTCTGCTTGTGTAAGCATTGAATGCGTTAATTCAATTATTTATTTTGGATAAATAATTCATGTTATATAAAAATAATGATTGTGTTAAACGTTATCTAAAAATGTTTATATTTATTTACCATCGTAAGGTCAACTTAAATTTTTATAATTCATTTATAAATGAGTTTCTGTATATGCCTGGTTTTCCTCTAATAGTTTTTTAATGTTTCACCACTCCGTGGCTTAATTGATTTAGAATTGATACTTACTGTCTGTGTCCCGTAATGGCAGCTGTAGAAACCGACTGGAAAAGTAATAATCAGCAGACACATTAATTATATTAAACCGATTTGAACGCCTTGGGGGCTGACTGTCTGTCTGTCTGATGGCTGCTGGCTGCTGGCCCGACTCTTACTTGGCCAAATCGCTGTCGACTCATTATGGTAAAGACATGTGTTAATTTATGTAACTTTCCCAAACGGCCATTGTGACGTTCATTAATCATTTTTTTGGTTTCAAGATTTTCAAGTTGGTTTCATGTCTCGCTGAGCGCTGCCTACTCTTTTATGTTATTTTTAGTTAATTGTTTGCGCTGTAAAATGTTTATGCGTTTTTGGCCAACAGCTCGATTCGGCTGCCTTTGCCCTCTTTGACTAATGTGTGCCGCGTGTTCACGTTTTTGTCTCAATGATTTATAGTCGTCCGCTGGACAAAGTCATTTTTGCTTTGCCAGCGGTTTCGTATGTCCGCAAAACAAATCAATCATATCGGAAATTAATTTTGATAGCCACATAAAGCTTGTGATAAAAAAAAAAATGTTGGAACAGCGCAGATATGAAATAAAGTATTGCAACATAGACGAGATGCCATTTTTCCAGAATTAATTAACATTGGAAATATATTATTTATGGGTTTTTCTTATAAGGTGATGCAATATCTACCTATTAAAAGAAGTGATTCACGCTTGTTAATTCTTAAATAATTTCTTTATAAGTTCCTATGAATATTATTGTATCTATTGTATAGCTTTAGTAGTACAAGTTTCGTAGTTTACTTACGAGGGTTATTATGCAATTGCCTTTCTTGCAGTCTAAAAAAAAAATAATGCGAATGTAACCAGCTCCACCAATTTGCCCGTTAGCCAACTCTACACTGCCCTGCATAATTATGGTGCGTATGTGCACTAGCTGCCCCAACATTCAATCTGCCTGCCCCATCCAAATCCAAGAAAAAAAGAAAACAAAACCCCTAATCAGCATTAAGGCACACCGAGCCTATTATTAAGTTGATTACAATTGGGGATAAGCAAAGGCAGCCAAAAGCGCGGTGCTATGTGTGGGTAACACCCCGGCGATCGGCGAGAAGTATGGCGGCTATATGGTGGGAAGTGAAGATCATTTTGCACGATTTATACTCGAACATAAAGCCGAGTATCGAGTACCCGGGGCTAGAGTCGCGGATAATGGTTACGGACAATGACGATGAGTGGACGGTGGCTTCTACTCTTCAGTCTTCAGTCTACAGTCTACAGTCTTCAGTCTTCGGTCTTCAGTCTTCAGTTTACAGTCTTCGGAGTTGAGTTTGCCCCACCGTGGTGTATATCCATCAATCGTGATGGATAACTGACAGTTTGGGGCGTTGCGGGTTCTCAATTTTCATGGCCAGCTCCTCGGTGAAATAAAGAAGAATTCCATTTACCATTTACCCGTCAACCCAATTTGTTGATCATTAATCATTGATATATATACGTATGCACACTCAACCCGTTCAATCAGTTAGTATGCGGTTATTTTGGCTGTTTAAATATAGCATTGACCCAATGGCGGGAAACTCAATTCACTGCGCATGTGCGACGCGAAAATTGGCATAAATTAATATGGCCAACAAATTTAATTAGCCATAAATCAATGAGTTTATTAAACAGTAGCCAGCAGCCAATCATGCCGTAACGTTTTTCCACCAATAAACTGCCACAAATTGGCTAATACCAAATGGCGTTATATGTCGACCCCAAACTTAATGCCCCCTCTTCATCTTTGCATCTCTCTCTCTGTTGGTAACTTGGTATCTCGCCAACGCCCACAAGTCTCGCCGCGCACATTAAAAATCAGTTAAATTCAGAAACACTCTCACCCCCACCAACTGTCCATAAACAATTTCCATGGCGAAAAAGTCCGAATCCCCCAGCACTTGGGGGACCTCTCACTGTGCCGGCTGTCGAGAGGCGCAGCTGGATTCGAACTGGTTTTTCGGTTTTCAACCGGGCCAAAACGCAGTCCGAGTCCACTCCGGCCTGCTGGACTTCTGTGTGCGGTTGGATGTGCCAGCAAAAGCCATTTGGCACATACATTTCAAACATTTATGGTTATTATAAAGCATTTAACATTATTATGGATGCCATGGGGCATCTGTTACAATCTGACGGCGGACACAAACACCGGCAGCCGACCATTGCCGGCTTAAATAATCACTCTGCGGTGTAATTAGCAAAATATTTATTGATATTTCGTAAAGTGTGCGCAAAAATAAGCAATCCAATTGGCCGAAATGCCGCATGACGATAAAAACACAACTGCATTTCGGCCAGCCAACTGATCTTTGGAAAAATCTGTTTCACGATTTCCCTGCCAAATTTAATATGGGGATACTAATTGCTAATTCAAAATAATATATAAATTTCGGATTTCTCTCCCATTAGGAATATTTTCCTACCCTTTATATTTTTTACTATGAAAATGCTTGTAAATATTTTGTAGCTAAGCGTTTAATTTTGTATTAATTATATGATTTGATCGTTTTTGCATGCAGATTATTTTCTAAATTTTATGTTTGATTTTTTTTCCTTTTAAGTCGAATAGCAAAACTTAAGGACTATTTCAGGTAGCACTTAATTCACCAGCAATAATTGATTTGGCACTTTGTGGCTATTAGAGTTGGCACAATCTCCTACCGAATCGGGCTTATTTATGTCTCCAAAAAATCGTTTGGCCAACAGAAAACTCAAAAACGAGCTGAAACTTGACAAATAAGTTACGCTTAATTTTCTGGCAAGCGTTTAAAAAACCGAAACACGCAACAAGGCAGCCACCTAAAGCAAAAGCCATTAAAAGCGACGCGACACTTTTGATAACAAATTCAAAGCCCAAACCGAAAACCAAAACCGAAAAACCGAAACAGAAATCGAAATCGAAGCAAGTTCGGCTTGAAAAAAAAAAGAGTCGAGACAAACTTACTATACCGAATCAGAGGAGCAGCAGGCCATAAACATTGAATTTTACGACGCTGTGTGGTCTCGTTTGACATATTGTGGGCTTTACGATTCCAAAATTAATGACACCATAGCCCAAGTCAGGTAACGGACATTGGATTGGGGGCGCCCTCCTCTCGGATTTAACTTGGCTTCTGCCATACCGGTTTCCGAATATATATACATATATATTTATTTTTTTTTTGTTGAAACGACAGCCTCATCAGTTAATAAGACACATACCCATTTTTATGGCATTAAACGACGACAAGTGAAACATAAAATATATATTTACTTTATTTTTATGCGCGAGTGGTCCGCTTCAAAGCTCAAAACTCACTTGACAAAGCAATTTGCATTGCAAATTGATCAACGCGTTTGGTTAGTTTAGTCGGTTTTCTAAAAAATTCATTTCGTTTTGCGTTTCGGTATCTGTGTTTTTTATTGGTTTGATTTCGTTTCAAATAAATCGTAATCAACTGAATTTACGATCTGAGGCAACAGCGACTTCACATTGCCTTGAAACTCAGCTTAATTAATTTCAATTTAATTTTGCCGAAGTTTAATTTATGATTCAATTGCATTAGGTGGCATGTATATTTCTCAGTTGAATATTGATTAAGCATCGCGATTACCGAAATTAAAATGCAAAACGAATAATTTCCTTGAATATTAATTAATGTAACTAATTTGATTTAATGACAACCATATTTGTTCGCTTTCAACTTCAAAGAGTATTTTTCGTTTTAATAAACGTGTTTGCTTTTTCTTATTATTGTTTATGTTACGACACTTTTTTGTTAAGATTTAAGCTCAAAGATATGCCACAAAAAAACCTCAATAAATCAATATCTGCAACATAAAACAAGAAAATCCGACAAAAAAAAACCGGCGTAATAAATATAAGTAATAGCCGCTGCAATTCTCGCACTATATCTCGTATATTATATAATGTGGAAAGTGCGTGCCATACAAACGCATGGAACGTATAAAAATAATAAATTACTCCGGAGCGAGAGTCCCGGTCGAGTTGGGTCGAGAAGGGATTTTCTGCGGAGCGTTTATTATGCGCACAATAAACGCGGCGGGCGCAGCGGCGACATAAATTAAATTTATGATGCTTATAAATATTCCACAGTCATTTGTAATACAGCAACAAACGAGGGCAACAGGATAACGCAAGGATGTGCCGAGCCTGTCTGTTAAACAAATTGTTGCCAACTCGGAAGAGGGGAAGCAACAAACACACACAAACATCCACAAACACACACACACATACACACACACACACTCAGGAGAGCTAGGGAGATATATTTGATTTATGGGTATGCAAGGATGAATAAAAGACTTCCAACTCCGAAAATCCGATTGCCACCACTAAAAGTGAAAAGAAATCGTCCATAAAAAATCGCTATATGTGCGCAGATATATATAATGTGCATGCTGAATTGATGATACAAGTTTTCAGGCACCTGAAATAGCCAGCGAATAGATGCTGGTTAATTTATGGATACGACGTATGAACTTGATTTATCAGCATCGAATATGTTTTATATTTTATTTCGTTTTAAGATCAATATTTTTTGTTCTGACCCATATTAATTTCCTTATGAATTAGTTATTCTCTGTTTACGGTTTGCTGTTGACTTGTGAAATTGAAGTTTATGAACTTTATAAAGCATCATATATAATTAATGAAACGTGCATTCCAATACGACCCAATTATTCAAATATTTTTGTATCAGCGTTTTAACTAACACAATTTAAATTTAATTATATTTTAGTATTCTCAATGTTTATAAATAATAAATGTTTGCAGTATAACATAAAATATTCAGTGTCAGCGGCTTCTTTAGAAATCTTCATAATCGTCATAAGTATAAAAGTTTAAATTTATGAATCTATATACTCCACCAGATTGGACATACAGATAACATATTATTGGTCCAAATATTTGCGAAATATACATTTTCTTTAGGCAAAGATATGATATCCTTAAACAATGATATATAAGCTTTATCCCTTTCATTTTTATAACTTCCTTCACTGTAAATCTTCAAGTTGGGCCAAATCTTCTTACAGTTTACTTTCATTGGCAGTAAATTGACATTTATCAGTGTTAATTTGCGAAGTTTGCTTTTCGAAGAAACAATTCGCAGTAAGTTTAAACTATGTTTTGATTTTTTTCCAAGATGAGCGATTTTTAGCTCTTTTAAATTTTCAATATTCTTTAATTGGCAAACTAAAATAAAACAAAAATGTGTTTTATCAATTTATATAATTAGTTTTTTTTTTAAGATAAGACTTACCATTGTTGTCAACAAATCCATAATATTTCAGTTGCCTAAGTGCTGTCATATTTCCCACCACATTTAATATTGTTGTTGGCACATTGCGGTCTATGTTAATTGTAAGCGATATCAGCGAATCCTTACGCTGATCTAAGAATGACTGGATCCTTTCAATTGAGTGGTCCTGCACAAAAACATAAACGTGCTTTAGATTCGGGCAGTACTGCTCAATTTGCTTTGCCAACTGATTGTTCCAGTCCAAATGCACGATGGTATGTCCACAGTACTTTAATAGAACTCCCAGCAGTTCCGTGGGAAGTCCAACATGCAGGTTCATAATATCCTTCAAGTTCTTGTAAATAGGACCACTATGATAGGCGAAAGCATTTCCCAAATGATCATCAACTTGAGCCAAAAGCAGCTTATGTCTTAAGCCCAAATGACCATAGACATTATCAAGTAGCTCAAAGGGCAAATCGGTTAAATTATAGTTTGTTGCCATTGCTGATATATTGATAATAAAATAAGAATTATTGAAAAAGCTAAGAAAGTATTTAAATTTAGAATGCTTTTTATTTCTGGTTCCCTTGTTTTGTGTGTGGTAACTTTTATGAATTTTAACTCAATGAACTACTAGATCCCTTTTCACTTTTCTTCTTTTTTTTACAATGCATTCAAAATAATTATTTTGTAATTAATTAGGCCTTTTCAAAAAGAAAATTTGTTTTTTTTGCATACTATTAACCAGTTTTCACTTTCCCAGTTTTAAATGAAAACCCGCTCTTTCACTTTTGAAAATATTTGCCTGATTTATTTTGGTATAACAACATAGGTATTTGGTAATAGTTCAATGGGGAATGGAAAAACAATTAGGAGTTCTGAAGGGGGAAATCAGTAGCCGTGTCCGTGCTCGTGGCCAGAGCTGTGACCATGTCCATGTCCATGGCCGTGTCCGTGATCCTGCTTCAGCGAGTAGCTGTGCGAGCTGCTGCCGTGATCGTGACCGTGTCCATGATCATGGCCATAACCGTGACCATCGTGTCCGCCGTGACCGTAGTCGTGTCCGCCGGAGTGGGAGGAGTGCTCCTCGAACTCAACGTGTCCGCCTTCGTAGCCGCTGTGTCCGTGACCGTGGTGCTCCACCTGGTGGTGTCCGTGGATTTTCTCGCGGTGCACCTGCGCCTCGAAGCCCTTGTGCTTGTCGGCGGTGTAGTGGACAGTTCGCTTGTGGCCATCGGCATCGATCAACTCATAGTGTCCGGTGACCTTTGACCCATGTCGTGATTCGCTCTGCTCCTTAACATCGCCAGTCTTGTGATCCTTAACACCGTAGGTGAAGTCATACTCGGCATGCGAATCGTGGTGATCCTCATGTCCGTGGTGTTCGTGATGATGACCTCCGTGGTGCTCCTCGTGACCACCGCCGTGGGATGTCAGATGGACGGAGGCGTGACTGGTGGCTCCACCATGGCCATGGTGTTCGTGGCCATGGAAGGGAGCTGCCTGAATGGCCACAAAGGCGGCCAACAGGGCAAGGGCAATGCAAAACTAGGATTCAAGTAATAAAAATAATTACTTTAACCAGAAGATATCCTTTGAGAACTCGGAACTCACCTTTTGGGCCATGGTACCTCAGCTAATTTATGAGTTGATCTTAGCTAGACTGCTGTTGTCTGATCACCAAGACGAAGTGAACTGTGCCAAATCAACTTTAACCCTGCCCTTTTATAGTTGAAAAACTAGACCCAAGTTGGTTGAACTTTCGAAAAAAAGAATTGGTAAATCATTGGGTTTAGTTACGCCCCATTTTGCAGTTCAAGTTCAGTTCGTACTTTCGCCCCAAAAGCCGTGCAATTATATTCGACAGGCCGTCCGACCCTTTTATTTTTTTAGTTGCTGTTTCCGAAATTGCTAACAAAAAAAAAAATAATTAAGAAGCGAAGAAAAACGAGGAAAGAAAAGAATGGCAGTGTAGTAATTCATTGTAAAATTTACTGTCGCAACAATTGCCAATTTAAAGTGGCATTGTTTATGCATCGCATCGCTGTCGTTGTCGGGCATTATAATCCCCCGTCCTCGGATTCGGATTTGGATTGGGATTGGAATTGGGATTGGGATATGTGGGCATAGCCAAGTAACAAACGAGCCAAAAGATTTATATGCCTGACAAACGTCGGTGAGTCGTTGACGTCAATCAAGCCTGACAAAAAGTCATCAGAATTGCAGTTTGCAATTCTCCCTCTGTCGCTTCTTCATTTTGGCCAGATCGGATGGGTCCGTCTCCTCTTTATCCCCCTTCTCCTCCTCTTCGTCGATTCCAATTCGCGATCCCAATCCCGATCCCTACTTTCTGGGGGCTTTTGGGACGACAGTCGTCCGCCTGTCAGCAGTCAATCGGCTGCCGTCTGTCAATGTCGTGTCGCCTTCATCAAAGGCCGCGTTCGAGTTGACAATGGGGATATTGGTTCTGTTTTGTAATCCGCAAAGAATAAGGATTTTCGAAAGTGCTCAGGTTTGGCAGCAGAAGGCGGGGAATCGACATTGTTGAATGCAATTTGCATTTGATGCGTGAATTAGCTGGGAATGTGATAATTGGATGGGAATGTTTGACTGGAAGTTGTAAATTAGGATTATGGATATATTTTTAATAAGATTTTCACCTTTTAAATATGTAATATTTTTTTATAAAATAATTTGCTTACATTACTTAGAATATTGCTATTATTAAAGAATCACATATTATAATCCAGGAGTAGTTTACCAATAATGTGTATGATGATCAGATATTAATCTGAATTATGCCTACTGAAAACTGTTTTGAAATTATGATTTAATCCATGATTTTCCCACACAACCATCGAAGTACTTTAAAAGCCACTCCTTCAACCCCTTTATAGATCACATTATACGGCAAGTCATCGTTTAATTGATTCTGATTATGGTAACTGGGCTTATGCATTTATAAGTGGGGCTTCCTTTGAGCCCGATGAAAGCCCCCTCGTTTCATCAACGAAATTGCCCTTATGGCATTGCTCCGAAAGTGCGTCAGTCGACTGGCGATGTTGCTGCCGCAAGTTGCGAGTTGCGAGTTCCGAGTTGCAAGTTACCGTTGTTGTTGTTGTTCGCGTTGTTGTTGCCATTGCTGTCGACTCATCGTTGTCAGTCAGTCAAAGGGGCAAACGAAAGGCAGCGTTGTTTGGTTGGCTGGTTTCGTTGTCAGTGTCATTGCTGGCTGCGTTTTGTGGGCACATTTCGGCTGCTTGATTACTCATGTCAATCAGGCTTCCAAACAGCGACGACATGCTGTCAATCTTTGTGTCATGGCCGCTAAAGTTGTTGGTCCGCCGGTTAGCTGGAGTCGGACAACAAGTACGCTTGATTGCCGGGCCCAAAAGGCTGGTAAGGGTAAAAAAAAAAACATCCAGGAAAGGGGAGATAAGGGGGGGTTAAGGGAAAAAAAGCAGGCGATGGGGAAAACCGATGATGCCACAAAGGTGCCCAGTGGTTGTGACAGGACTGCGGCTTCCACCAGTACTCAATGTTGCCGCTGCTGCTGCTGCCGTGGCCATTCCGATTGATGTGCATTGTATGTAAATTGGGCGGTCGTTTTCGCATTTGATGCCCTGTCAAGGGATAATCAACAGCAGTGGCAGTTGCAGTTGCAGTTGCTGTAGAGATGTGCCAGTGGCAGTGGCAGTAGAGCAGGAGCAGATCAACAACCGCAGACAACGAAGGGACAACTTTAACATTGAGTCTCCGAGCCAAGCTCGTTGCAACTCATTATGCGCTCGCATACGAAATTGTTTTCCACTGTAACGAGCTTAAGAAATACGATCAAAATGCCTCGATAATTTTCCCTTCAGCAGCACCATCATCACTATGACCATAAATATCCTTCGCTTTCGCATCCTGCCGAAAATTGAAAACGACAATGTTGAAGGCCTGTCGACAGATATTCATTTGACAGGACCCCATCAACTGTCGCCGCCGTCAAGGGAAACATTAACTGAAGCGAACCAGAAACCGACTACGAATATCGATTTTAATCGCGATTTTGAGGATTGAAGGAGGAATTCAGTTTGGAGAGGATATAAAGTGTCCTTCAAAAGGCAAGGGAATTTGTAGCGGCATTATTGGATATTTTTTTTAACAATCAATTGAGAAAGAATTCTCGATTTAAATAAAAATTTATGTTCTCAGTTTTCAACACTAAAGAATCCATTTATATAGAAATCATATTTCAATAATACATATTTTAAATTAACATTATGTCAAGTTTGTTAGTTGCTATAAGAAGTATTGTATATTAATTTCTTTACTTATTTTATCTACTGAAGAATATGTTGTATATTATTTAAATAGACTTTATTGCAAATTTGCTTACTATCTAAGCAGTTTTTCTATATCTTCCATGCACTTCTTGCAGAATCGATTGGCAATAAAATATCGCCCGGCGAAGTGAACGCAAGAAAATGCGTTAAGACCATTCACAGCAGTTGCGACTGAACAAGAAACTGGTTGCCGGGCCATAAAGTTAGCTGTAATCGGTAATTGCGATAAATAAAGTAAGTGGACGGGTTCGAGGTGTTTGCTACATCCAAGGGGGGAAGGGGGAAGAGGGGAAGGGGGGGTGATTCTCCGGTGTTGACAATTCTCGTCAATTACGTTGTAATGCGTTTGGTACGACGTCTTCGCTGCCTTGACGTTCCAGTTGGGCCACTTGATGCATTGCTTGACACATTATGATGCTTGATTTGTTGTCATGGCAATTTTGCCACCATCCCGACCAGGCCTCAAATGGCATCTACCCAGTGCTCCAATGCTCCAATCCTCCCGATCTCCACCTCGCTCCTCCTCTCGATCTCGATCTCTGGAGGCTTCGACGCTGTGTAATGTGAATTTTTCACTATGGACAAATGACTTTGTCGCGGCCTTTTTGCGTTATAATTACAAACGTTTTTTTACTGCCCGCCGCTTTTGCTGTCTGTGAACAAAAATAGTTAGCAAGGCAACAACATTGCTGAGCCTTCCAGTTATTAATGGTTAAGTCTGCACATGTTGGTATTTATCAGGTTGTTTATTTATCCTCCATCTTCTGCTGGCAATTTGCGATCGCTTTCTTGTTGTCCCTTAATTATTTGCCGGGCCAGTGAGGTATTTATGGGGAATTCTTAAATGTATTTGGAACATAAATAGTTTTTAAATTTCTGAACTACCTGCTGTGAACAGCCATTCATATTGAACCGTTTCACAACACTTTTTTGTAGCATTTAAGAACACTGTTTATATGTATAAGATAGTCGAGAAGTCACAAGAGAATAGGCAAGCAGAAGAACGAGAAGCTAAGCGAAGCACAGAAAGACGCATAAGCAAAATGTATCATATTTTATCCACCTCAATTATTATTAAATAAACACACCACTCGGAAAAGCATAAAAACCATCCTCTTCACAGTTCAGAAGTGGGATAATAATGATGTTTTTGAGGTTGGATAAACGTGGATCAGAGAAGTGCTAAGAAAATTCTAGAAGAAGCTACTAGAATCGTCGGCGTGGGAAGTTTTCAATGGGATGTGTTCCCAAAGGTCTATGTGACAAAGGATATTGGAAATTACGGATGTGTTCCTTTTCAACGCGGCAGACGGATTCAAAGCAGAGAATCAGGAATCTTAGTGAACCTGAGTTCTAAGAAGTTTCGAGAAGCAGCATCAGGAGTCTCAGTGAACCTGGAAATCGTGCGTGCACATGCAAGTTGTGGTCGAGGCCAATTGCAAGAAATAGTTGAAAGAAGACAGTGATAATTTTGAAAATGCCAAAAATTGCAGAGCTTAAAGTAGATGAGCTAAAGTTCTTGCTACGATTAAGGAATGTATCAAGTTCAGGCACTAGAGCTGAGTTAATTCAAAGACTTATTGAAGTTGAGCAGTCGGAGGACATAGAGATGCCAGCACCAAGTGGGCTAAGTAGCCAACAACAAGAACAAGTGATGACGCAATCAGCAGCAATTTCACAATTGCAGAATGAGATGACGGAGTTGAAAGAAATGATGGCTCAGTTAATTAGCATTCAGAGGCAATCAGCAGCAGCCACAGTTGAAGTGGAGCATCAGCAGCAGCAAAACAGAGAAGCAGAAATCGATGAGATCAGGAACGAGAGCAGCCCTGCGGTACAGAATACCAACAATATTAGGCAAGCGTCGGTTAAAGAAATTGCTAACACCTTACCAGAGTTTGATCCCAGTGACGAAAACGCCATATCTGTTAGCCAGTTCATCGATCGTGTCAATAAAGTGGTTGATGCTTATAAGTGGGACGACAAATTTGTATTGCTCGCAATTTATACACGGCTAAAAGGTCCAGCCAAAATGTGGCTTGATTCATCACCAATTTTGCACCCGACATGGAATAGTTTTGCAGAAGGTATCCAAGAAGAATTCGGAGCAAGCCCAGACGAAGCTGAAGTGCATTTTAAAATGGCCAATGCAACCAGACGACAGAAGGAGACGGTCAAGGAATACTGTTTCAGGATGTCAGCCCTTGGAGTGCGATACCAGCTTAGTGAAGCAGCGATCATCAGATATGCCAGATCAGGTCTACAGCACCGAGAACTGCAAAACAGTATTGCAGCTATTAATTTCGCAACTATGAAGCAACTTCGAGAGGCAGCAGAATCGTTTTTTGTAAACAGAGGCCGAACAACAGTAGGTAAAAG